ATTTATGTGGAGCGCTTCACAAATTTGCATGTCATCCTTGCGCAGGGCCAGGCTAATCGTCTCTGTATCGTTCCAAGTTTAATATATGTGCTGCCGAAGCGAGCATTTGCCTATTTTTTTTAAAAGATAGGTTGTCTGGTTTTGTTTTGTTGATGTATAAGAATTCTTTAAATATTCTAAGTATGAGTCTTTTGTTGGATATATGTATTGCAATAACTTTTCCCTCTCTGTGGCTTACCTTTGCACAGTCTTAGTGGTATCTTTTGATGAAACAGAAGTTCTTAATTTTAATGACATTCATTTCCCTTATCTTTTCAACTTTTTCCTTTGTGATTGATTTTTTTGGTGTGCATGTGATATGTTTAAACAATCTTTTTCTGCCTCCAGGTCATAAGAAACTCTCCAAGTTTTCTTCTAAAAACTTTATTGTTTTCTCTTTCACACTTAGGACTCTGATCCATGTTGAATTAACGTTAGTGTATAATCTGAGGTAGAAGTTAAGGTTCATCCTCCCCACCTTCTCCCAGCCAAATTAATAGCACCAGTTTTTAAAAAATACCCTTTTCCTTCCAATGAATTGTAATGGCTCTTTTATCATAAATTGAGTGATCATATATGTACAAGTCTATTTCTGGGTTCTCTGTTCTGTACCATTAGTTTGCTTGTCTAATCTGTGCCAATACTACATTACCTTAATTATTAAAGATTTATAATGAGTTTTTATACATGGTAGTAGTGTATGTTCTCAAACTTTGTTCTCCAACATTCCACTGTCTGCTCAGATTCCTTGCATTTTCATATAAATTTTAGAATTTATATGAAACAGATTCACTTATTTTCTAATTATATTGTATATTTTAGAGAATTTGAAAAATATCAACATATTGTAAAGAAGAAAAATCAAAGCATCTGTAACCCTACCGTGGTTGGCATTTTAAGATATTTCTTTTGGTTTTTCATTACTTTTCATGTTTTGTTTTGTTTGTTCAGCCTTATTTTATCTTTATAGCAACACTGTGAGTTAAGTATCACCCGTGTACCATTTTGCAGAGGGTAAAACTGATCTTAGAAAGGAAAAGTGACTTGCTCAAATTCAGAGCTACTAACAAAAATGTGTACATAATTCACAGACATACATCATACACACAGAATTTGGAAAAAATGGTTTCATACTCTATAACTAATTTGTATTCTTATCTTTTTCACTTAAAATTATATATTAGCCCTGGCCAGTTTGGCTCAGCGGTTAGTGTTGGCCTGCGGTCCGGAGAGACCTGGGTTCAGTTCCCACTAAGGACATGTACCTTGATTGCAGTTTGTCCCCGGCCCTGGTTGGTCGTGCGGGTGGCAACCACTCAATGTGTCCCTTTCACGTTGATATTTCATTCTCTCTCCCTCTCTCTCCCACTCTATCTGAACAAAAAATGGAAAAATGTCCTCGGGTGAGGATAAAAAAATGCATATATTAAACATTTCCCATGACTATTTCTTTAAATTGTGATTGTCCATTGCTGTAAAGTAATCTTCAATATGACTGAAGCAGTATTAATTTATCTAATCATAACCTATGGCTATTACAACTTTTTCAGTGTTTCTGATTAATTTTGTTGTGTTAAACTTGCTGGTATGTGAATGTTCCCTTCTCTGGCTATTTGTTCAGGTTAAGCCACAGAAGCAGACTTACTGGGTCAAAGAACATGAACCCCCCTGGCACAGGTTGCCACCCTTCCCTCCAGAAGGGCTGTTCCCAGGTACAGTCCCAGCAGCTTCCGAGAGCACGCCCTGGCCTCCACATCCTCCCCACACTGGTCACTGTTGTGTTTTTTTAACTCGTCCACCCACACAGCCCCTTTCCCATAACACAATGAGTGTTCTCATTTGAATTTCCCCTTTTAGGTAGAATATGAACGATCTCAAGTACAGACAGGAAAACAGGCTTCAGAATTTTCAGTTGCTCCTGCCTTTCTCACCCTTAAGTTGGAAGTGGAAGACTCCCTGTTGGTAAAGAAAATCCAAACATGATTAAACAAATGGAAGAAGTAATTGGGAATATAGAAGACTATGAAGAGAAGTGGTTGCTGGCAAAGTGTGTGCTCAAGGATGTACACAACTGAGTTAAATTCCAGAGAGAACCAAAATTTTAACATAAATGATGGAATCATAAAATTGCTGGAGGAAAGCATTGATGAATTATTTTATAACCTAGGAATGAACCAAGATTTTCAGGCATGACATTAACCTAAAAGCTGCTTTAAAAAAAATGATATATTTGAGAACATAAAAAACTATAGGGGCCCTGGCCGGTTTGGCTCAGCGGTTAGAGCGTCGGCCTGTGGCCCCGAGAGATCTGGGTTCGGTTCCTGCTAAGGGCGTGTATCTCGGTTGCAGTTTGTCCCCAGCCCTGGTTGGGTCGTGCGGGTGGCGGCCACTCGATGTGTCCCTTTCACATCGATGTTTCTTTCTCTCTTTTCCTCTCTCTCCCTCCCACTCTATCTGAACAACAACAAAAAAGCTATAGGGGAGCTCTGCCCGTGTGGCTCAGTGGTTGAGCATCGACCCATGTACCAAAAGGTCTCTAGTTTGATTCCTGGTCAGGGCACATGCCCAGGTTGTGGGCCCAATCCTCAGTGTGGGACATGCAGGAGGCGGCCGATTGATGTTCTCTCTCATTGATGTTTCTATCTCTCTCTCCTCTCTTTTCCTCTCTCTCTAAAACTAATAAAGGAAAAACAAATTTAAGATCAATAAAGAAAAAAAATTTAAGAAAACTTTAGGGGAAAGAGGCTCATGGGGAGGATGAAGAGGATGAAGAAGGTCAAATATATGGTGATGGAAGGAGAGAGGCTTTGGGTAGTCAGCACACAATGCAATACACAGATGATATATTATTGAACACCTGAACTTTATATAATGTTCAGGTTTATAAAACTTTATATAATGTTTATATAATGAACTTTATATACACCTGAAACTTATATAATGTTATTAACCAATGTTACCCCCAATAAATTTAATTAAAAAAGAAGAACCAATCCCCTGGCCAGTTTGGCTCAGCATGTTGGCTTGTGACCAAAGGGTCATGGGTTCAATTCCCAGTCAAGGGTATGTACCTGGGTTGCATATACAGTCCTGGGCTCCTGGTCAGGGTCATGCTGGAGGCAACCAATGGATGTATCTCTCTCACATTGATCTCTCTCTCTCTCTCTCTCTCCCCCTCCCTCCCTTCTACTCTATCTAAAAAGCAATGGAAAAATATCCTCCAGTGAGGATTAACAACAACAACAACAATAATAAAAAGAATCAAGACCAAAAAGGAAAGAAACAATGAAATATATTTAGAATATGGGAAGACATAAAAAAAGGAATTACTATAGGTTCCCTAGATTATTTATTAACACACACACACACACACACACACTTTAAATATCCATATGGCACCCTGGCCGGTTTGGCTCAGTGGTTGGAGTGTCGGCCTGCGGACCAGAAAGTTCTGGGTTCGGTTCCCGCTAGGGGCACATACCAAAAATAAATAAATAAATAAGTAAATAAATAAATATCCATATGGCAAAAATACTGTGAATAAAGTCAAAAGATAATTAATGGCCCTTGCTAGGTAGCTCAGTTGGTTAGAGCACCATTTCAATATGCCAAGTTTTGGGGTTTGATTCCCAGTCAGGGCAAATTTAAAAAATCAACTTATGGCTGGGCCAGTGTGGCTCAGTGAATTTAGTTTCTCTCAGGGACTGAGGGGTCCTAGTTCAATTCCGGGTCAGGGCACATGCCTAGGTTGCAGGCTTAATCCCCAGTAGGGAGTGTGCAGGAGGCGGGCTGATTGATGCTTCTCTCTCACATCGATGTTTCTATCTCTCTCACCCTTCCTCTCTCTTTCTAAAAAGTCAATAAAAACATTTTTAGCCCTAGCCTGTTTGGCTCAGCGGTTGGAGCATCAGCCTGCGGACCAGAGAGTCCTGGGTTCAGTTCCACTAGGGGCATGTACTAAAAAAAAAAAAATCTGCCCTGGCCAGTTTGGCTCAGCGGTTAGAGCGTCAGCCTGTGGTCCGGAGAGACCCGGGTTTGGTTCCCGCTAAGGGCACGTACTTCGGTTGCAGTTTGTCCCCGGCCCTGGTTGGCCGTGCGGGTGGCAGCCACTCGATGTGTCCCTTCACGTCGATGTTTCTCTCTATCTATCTCTTCCTCTCTCTCCCTCCCACTCTATCTGTACAAAAAATGGAAAAGTATCCTCGGGTGAGGATTAAAAAAAAAAAAAATCAGTAAATAAATAAAACCCACAATATATCCTCTGGTGAGGATTAAGAAAAGAAGGGGAAGCAACAGATAGATGTTTCTCTCTCTCTCTCTCTCTTTGAAATCAATTAAAGAAAAGATGATTGATATATATAAAATATACAGTAAGTCCTCATTTAACAATGTTGATAAGTTCTTGGAAACTGTCTTTAAGCGAAACAACACATAATGAAACCAATTTGACCATAGGCTAATTGATATAAACAAGAATTAAGTTCCTAGGTGATATTTCTGGTCACAAAAACATCACCAAACATCTAAACAAAGACCCAAAACATTTCTTTCTTTTTTTTTTTTTATCCTCACCTGAGGACATTTTCCCATTTTTTCATTGAGGTAGAGTGGGAGGGAGAGAGAAGAAGAGAGAGAGAGAAAAACATCTACGTGAAAGAGACACATCGAGTGGTTGCCACCCGCACGACCAACCAGGGCCAGGGACAAACTGCAACTGAGGTACGTGCCCTTAGCAGGAACCGAACCCGGGTCTCTCTGGACCGCAGGCTGACACTCCAACGGCTGAGCCAAACCGGCCAGGGCAAACCCAAAACATTTCTAATATTAAACATTAAAATAAATATGAACCATACAAACATTAAAGAAAGATTAATAAAAACAAGTAAGATGATTTCCCCATCAGCTTATTCCAGTTCAGGGTCACAGGTGGCCAGAGCCCATCAGGGCAGTTCAGGGCACAAGGCGGGAACCCACCCTGGACAGGATGACCTTCCATTACAGGGCCACTCACAGCCACCCACACTCACTCAGACTGGGACAACTGAGACACCCTAATTCACCCAACAT